TTCTCGAAATTTTAATTTAAAAAAATGAATATTTAATACATGCATTGTAGCCAGATTGCTTGTATTCATGCATTTATAGGCCTTTTTATCTGAATAATATTGGTCACATACTAAGAGTAATAAAAACTTATCAAATTATATATATGGTTCAAATTCACACTATTACAAAACATATGGTTGTCCATTCATGCTGCCAATACCTTTGTAAACACCCTGTTGAAATTAGTCAAAAATTGTTTATTCAAAATTAAGGTTTTTCTTCATAAGAGTGTATAACTTTGATGGATTGTGATGACACTGACCGAAAAATAGTAGTTTTTAATTTGGCATTTCCTCAATTTAAAAGGAAAATTAAGAATTTAAGTAAAATATTCTGCCAAAATATAAGTCCCTTATCTTGTACCATGTCCTTTGTCTGATGCTATTCAACAAATCCGGCTAACTGTTGAACATATAGCAATAGTTAAAATCATCAACTGTTTCTGGTATTTGATGTAATTAAACTAAACTTTAAAATTAAAAAAAATATATGCTTTTATGAAATAAGGTGTTTTTACAAGTAACGTAATTAAAAAAAAATGAAGCAACATGTACCGTTACTCTGAATAGAAATGCATTTACAAAGAATGGTATTATCCTCACTATCTAAATCATCTTTTTTTTTCGGAAATAGATCATTAGAATAATTTGTTTTCTTTTTTAGATTTTACTTTCTATGAGTACCCACAGCATCTTCAAGCAGAACAATGGATATTGATCAGACCAGACAGTCTGGAGAATTTACCATGAATAGAAGTAACAAAAGTGACAGCAACACATTCGATTGGTTTAATGGATATTTTGGACAGGAGTAGCAGACTGGTACATTGATTCCAAAATCTTGAACAAACAACAACTGAACACATTCTTGTCTCTTTTAAGTGGGATAATGTTAATCTTTACAAAATGCCAGCACAATTGAAATTAATATGGGATAGTTGAAAGAAGAAATTTCAAAATGATACATATTATCACAATGTTGAATTTAGACAATCTCTATTTTTGTGAAACAGTTTTTTTTAAACTTTAAATACTGTGATGATCTACAAAACATTATTAAAAGATGAACATGTAAGTCTCAAGTGTGATCCAGTTTTTAACCGCTTTTCGCTTGAAAAAAAATCAAGCTTTTTTAAATTTATGAAGTGACAACAATTGTTTTTACTGGATTTACATTGAATAAATAATATTATCCAGACATTAAAATAAAAATGTTGAAATTGATTTCACTTCATTTTATTTTCATTTTTTCGCAATGTTTTTATCAATTTTTTTTAACCTTTCTAAGTGAGAAAGTCAGACTTCTTGATGCTTCTAGTTGTTACACACTACATTTAAAACATTGTCACATTTCATATGGTATATTCTGGCTTTCATTGTATTTTGTGTTTTTTGTATTTTGGTGAAATTGCAAATTGTGTTCTTACCAATGAAACTTAACAGTTAATTGTGCTTGATTTTTTTTTCTTAAACAATGAAAAACCCTTTTAATTAAAAATTAATATGTTAAGGTAAAGTTCATCCCAAAGGTTGCTTTTATTCATTTTCATAAAATTATAAATAATTAAAAAAAAATTTGGAAAGTTTGGAACTATTTGATTTGATTACCATTGAGACAGCTTTCCACGAAAGTTCAAATGATGTAACCGTAGGCATACGACCTTCAACGACATGAGAAAAATCCATACTGTATGGTCATCTATAAAAGACCACGACATTAAACACCAATTCAATTGAGAAGAATAACGGCCTAATTTATTACAATTTACGAAAAACAATATGACAGACATGAACCAACAACAACCACTGAACAACGGGCTCCTGACTTGGGATAGTCACATAACGGAGGTGGCAGGGTGAAACATGTTTGTGATCGCTCAACCCTCTCCTAGCTGGGATAGTGTGTGTAACAGCACACCATAAAAATAAGCATTTATTTAGTACAGTATCATTTTAAAACAACAGCTTTCAAAAATTCACTTAATTTTGATGGCAAGTATTAGTAACCAATCAATATATACAGAGATATGAATCACCTGTGTGCAATTTTGATAGATATATATTATGCAAATGTTGAAATTTAAATTACAATACTTAAATGACTACTTACCAATTTTTCATCAGTATTCTGATATATTAAAGTATAGAAATTGACCCTATGTAAAAGTTTCAAAGTCAACGAATCATGACTGGGGGAGGGAAAATAATCATTATGGAGATGAGATGTGCAAAATCTAGTACAACTGCACATCTAATGTAATAACCGTTAATGTTCAGCCTTAAACTGACCAAATCACAAACATAAACCTGTAAACTAACTATGCATTTTCGAAATCAATAGACAGTGATTGGGGGAGGGATAATCGCCATGGAAATAATTTCCAGTGTCTTTTTATAAATGGTTACTAGAGTGACATCCCTAAATTATTCCCCTTCTGACTGAACTAAACAGCAATACACATTGCTATGAGTTGATGCTCTAGAGAATATAAATGTGTAAACCTAATTTTGTGACTGAATTCAGTCATTATATTTTTTTTTACTGCTGCAGAATTGGTCTTTTCAACAAATATTTCCTGAATTTGTATTGACTGAATTCAGTCATCTGTATTATAGATGTGTATACTATGTAATCACACTTGGTGTAATTGAAGTCTTAGAAAACACTCTAATTTAGTACAATTTCTTGTAGCTTCTATCAAATGCTGTGTGACTGAATTCAGTCAACATTTTGTGAAAATAATGAACAGGATAAAGAGTTAATTTCATTTAGCTGTTATCCTGTTATATGTTGCTTGTATTAATCTATAATCCGAATTCTGTTTCATCTGAATTAACAGTAATAGGTTTTAGTTAAGAAGCAACAAGTACAAATGTATTTGATAGATATTTTACGAATAAAATGGTAATGTTACTTTCTATTGTACTTATTGAATTATGTGATATAAAGATGCAATCAGGTGACTGAATTCAGTCACTCAAAAAATTATCACCGTACAATGCTATTTTATTTTTTGTAAGTGGATCATATTAATGGGGTCATTAATATGAATATATTCTGTGTTAACGTTTTCATCCATTTTAAATAAAATGCGCATTGCATACAATGTTGAATGTTAAATGGTATTCTATAATGAATAATATATCTACTCAGTTCAACCCTTGAATTTTGACAAATCAGAAAATTGACAAGTTGAACCAGACGGTGTTATATTTAGAATTGTGCAAGCGTCTTACCTGATGTTCGGTTTGACATTTTTATTGTATAAATTTCAAGATTGGTATAGTTTAATCTAAGTAGACTGATATATGATTCATTCAACATCACAATCATATTTACTGATGAAGGATATCTGTTATCCGAAATATTTATAAATAATTACATTTATAGTTCCTTTTTTTGTTATTGGTGTTGTTGTGTACACTTTTTAGGCGTTTATATAATTTATTTATTGTGTACGTGTATCGTTACTCGTAACGATCCAGCGCCCTCGTGGGAAAAATCGTTGACTATTATTCAGACGTTTTATATATATATATATATATATATATATATATATATATATATATACGAACACTGTGATTGGACAAACAAGTTGATTTCTTTAAGAAAAGAAAAGCAATACGTGAAACCGAGTCCGCTGACTGGTCATCAAAAAATTGTTGTTGATTTTTTTTTTTGCTTTTGATTTGAAATAATTTACTGTGAATCGATTAAGGTAATGATGACTTTATTGAAAATATGTAATTATGTGTAGATTCTTGCACAAGTTAATTGAAAGCAAGGTTGGATTTATTTATTACTTGGGAGTGTATATCATTTTTCCTTAATCCTATTGTTGATTCCAGTTTCTGCAAACCGGATGTCTAATGAAAAATGCACAAACCAATCGCAATATAACTATAATCACTCAGTTTGCTTCATAATCTAGATGCATTTATTTATCTATCATATCTTCATATTTTGTTTCCTGATGCCTTCAATTATTCTTATTCTCTTTATTGAAGTTGTCTGTACGCATGGTAGATGTTATATAGATAGATTTAAAGTCCAATTTCCATGTGAAGTGAAACCCATGCAACTTATAAGAAGGTTTCGTATATTGTTCTTGAAAGTAACACACCGGTTTCATTGGGACCTCTTATATACTGACAACTATTTTGGTCTCCTCATATTTTAAGGAATTCCTGGCGTTACTTAAATCAATCGAAATATTCTACAGGAAAATTTGGATTTGAAGAATATCTTATTTAAAGAAGATACTAACGCTTCCCAAAATTTATGAAATCCCGCCAAATTTCATCCCCAAATTTTGCAGTCTGAGAAGGCATTCTCAACATTAGTCTGGGACAACTGGTTATCCAAAATAAATAGCTTTTGGTATTGATAGATTTTTCAATATGGCACATTTTGCGTAAGCAAATTAGTAAAAATAGTAAGATGATAACTAGAATAAAAATAATATAGGTGAAAGAAAAGCAAACAAAAACACTACATATAAAACTGCGATTGAGTAACAAGAACACAGTGAAATAGGAGGATAAAATCAGATGCTCTAATTGGTAAGCAATTTGTTCTTTACACCGGGGCATTAGCTGCTTTGCTCATGACAGCCACAATCCATTAAGAAGTCGCATATGATAATGTCAGAAAAAAAAATCGTGGGAACGGGATTTTGATTACTTCGAACGAAAATGTCCATGGTTATTTGTGACTATCAAACTATCGAACTGAACAAAGAACATAGGCTAACAATGCAATGCATACAGAACGTTTATCTTATTAAATATTTTTTACCAGCTTTTATTAGCTATTTTTATGCAAAAGATGCACATAGAAAGTCTGGACGAATATTAGTTTATACATTGATCCGGAAAGTTTTTACATATAATGGTTCATTTCAGAAAGCAAATGCATAATTTAGGTACTTAAATCAATTATAAAATGTTTTCATTTCCAGGTAACTACCCCTTCAAACATGAATACAAATCTCTTTACTGAATCAAGTAATGGTAGCATTAGTAAAATAGCATCACTTCTACAGAATGGTGCAAATTCAAATCAGTGCACTACGCACGCAACCTCTGAATTTAATCATGGGGATGTCGTTCAAATCTTACTAGAACACGGTGCTAAACCAAATATTAAGTCGAATAATGAAAGCAAAATAAGTCCGCTTGGGTTTGCTAGTAACAAGGAACATATTGACATTGTCTCTAAATTTTTGAAGTACTCATCTGACGCCAATATTTGTGACAGTAATGGTCTTAGTCCTTTATATTCAGCTTCACGTGGTGGTCATTTTGAAATAGCAAAGTCGAGCCAAAGTAAAAAAAAACTCAAAAAGGATTTATCGCTCTTCAGGCAGCTTCAGAATTTGGTCACAGTGATATTGTAAAATTGTTACTTGGAAACTGAGCTGCACCGAATGAAAGTTCAAACGATGACAAGAAGACATCACCACATTATTTAACCTCAACAAACGGTCATCTTGAAACAGTAAAGTTGCTTTTACAATTTGGTGCTGATGTAAATGAACGTACCTCTGAAGGACACACTGCTCTGCACGTTGCATCAGAAAATGGCAAAATTGCTGTTGCGAAATTGCTTCTAGAAAATGGAGCAGACCCAAATGTAGTGTCTACCTGTACTCCTCTTTATGTATCTTGTATGAATGGCCATATAAGCAATGTTGAAATTTTGCTTGAACATGGAGCAACTATTAACCTTATTTCAGGAATAAACTGTTTATCGCCTTTATATATAGCTTCTTAAAGAGGTCATACAGCAATAGTCGACTTTCTTTTGAAAAATAAGGCAGACGTCAATTGGCGATGTGTAGATGGAAATACTGCTCTTCATACAGCTTCCGAAAGGGGTCATTTGAAAACGATAAATTCTCTTCTGGAAAACGGTAGTGATATAAACCTCCGATCAAGTTTAGGATGCAGTGCTTTTTATTATGCATCATGTCACGGGAAAGATGAAACCGTCAGCCGACTTATTCAGCACGGTGGTGACATAAATTTATTCAGTAGTACAGGTGTCAGTCCACTTCACATCGCAGCTGAAAACGGTCATCTGCCTGTGATATCTATTCTTTTCACTAATGGCATCGATATTAATCTGCAGATGGATGATGGGTCAACTGCCTTGTACATAGCGGCTAGAAACTCTAATATCGAAGTAGTAGACATTTTAATTCGAAATCATGCGAATGTTAATTTGAGCACTAACCAAGATTTTAGTCCCTTACACATTGCATCGAAAAATAATTACTTAAACATTGTTCAAACTCTTATCCGAGAACATTTATTTTGTTTGTTGTGATTGGATTTGTTTCGATGATATTGGCCTTCCTGTACGCATAGATACATAAGTCTACCATAAACGGATTATCGTTATTCCAATTAACAGATCAGATCAAACACGTACAAAGTTGTTTAGTTTAATTTGAAAATAATTTATGTTCGTTTGAATTTATGAATAAGAACATTAATATATTTTATGTACACCGGTATGTAAACATTACAACGTGTATATGTTTATAATTAATACACGTATAGAACGTATATAATAGAAATGTTTTTCTTTGTTTGAGTTATAACTGACCATGGTATTTGAACAAGTCAATTCAATTATTTCGTGCCGGTTGTGTGAATTTACGATATTATCATTTGATGTTCACTTTTGGTGCAGCAAAGTTAAAAATCCTCCCACCCGACAAAATGTAATTTTTATGTTATTATCTATTTATATGATTAAGAATATATGTATAAAATGAATCTTGAATTCGATTCATAATTTGTATTTGGGAACATAATGAAAAAACAACTTTTTCTTGTAAATTACTTTTGTGTTTGTTACCTGCAGCGGCCTAGGCAGACAGAACTGATGACTTTTATTTTGCAATTGTCTTTAATAAAATCAAAGCTTTGCCGTAAACTCTCAGGCGAGTTGATCCCATACACAGGTGTTCAGTTTTTTTTGTGAATAATTTATGTTCGTTTGAATTTACAAATTAGAACATAATATCTTAAGTGATTTAATACCTTAAAACTTTTTGATTTTGGATTTGTCAGATATTTGTTTTCAAATTTTGTTAACTTTTATTACTGAAGTTAAATTTTACGGAATTGAAAGGCTAACATTGACCCTTCGTTTACCTGAAATGAACATGGCGTATGCCATAATATGTATAGTATTCCATTAAACTAAAAACACGCATATAATCTTCAATAAGAGAGCGTCAGAGTTGCAATAACAAATTTACTCTAACAGACAAAACAAACCATTATGATAGTCATGAAAACATATGTCGCGAACCCGGTGCCATTTAACGCCAATTATTTTCAATATTAAAAGGTAGGCCTTGGTAATCCCACCATTTCCCTCTCGTTTCATTTGCTTGTAGTTACAACACTGAAAGGTTAGGTGTTCATAAATCACTGATGCTTTTAATATTTAGGATATTTTGAATATGACGAGTTTTTAGGTACCCTAAAAACGGTCCAAAAACTATAGTAGGCATATATCATTATGTGTTTTTGCTCATGTTCTCATAAGGAATACATTTGTCTGTTAAAATATGTAGTAGAAACATATCTTATAGTAAATGTGAAATGTCATGGTATCATTTGAAGCCTTAATGTGAATAAATGGTTTAAAATTATATTGAATAAGTCGAAAAATCTGGCAAGCTCAGATAAGACATTTATTTTTCAAACTAAAGAAAAAAAAAAGGATTGTTTATTTTGCGGAAAAAAATGTTGAAGCAATCATTGTTAATAAACCTTGAAAATCAAAAACTTGAATGTTAGTGGAGTTTACATTGTATATTTTTATATCTGTTGTCATTCTATAATACATTTAAGATTAACCAGTTTTTTAAAATCTCTTTTAGTCATGGGAAAGCCTTTTGTGAGCGATAATAAAAGTGTTTGGTAAAAAAAAGTAAAATAACAAAAATACCGAACTCAAAGGGAAGTTCAAAATGTAAAGTCCTTTATTAAATGGCAAAATCAAAAGCTCAACCACAACTAACAAATGGAAAACAACTGTCATATTCCTGACTTGGTACAGGCATTTCCTTACGTAGAAAATGGTGGATTAAACCTGGTTTTATAGCTACAATGTAGCTAAACCTCTCACTTGTATGACAGTCGCATAGAATTCCATTACATATACAACAATGTGTGAGCAAAACAAACAGACATTATAGGTAAAACGTCAAAAATTGGAAAGATTATCGGATAAATGTTTAAGATATGTGGCCAAAAGGAATGGAATGTTTTCCGTCCTACAAAATGTCGATGGTTATATCAATTTACCCCTGTTCATCCGTCCGTTCGTTCTACACTGGTTCTCCGTTAAAGCGCCCATTTTATGACGTTAATTTGTCCCACCGTAATAAAGCAAAACTAACGATTTCGAATTATATACCCGTAGCTTGTTATACTTATTTCTGAGATTTTTATATTTCTTTTTTATCTATATTTTAAATTTTTATCAAGTTTAGTACATATTGCACCACGATAGTGATCGTACCGGCCGTCGAAATGTTTTCTTCGTAAACCTGTAATTTCCGTTAACGGATAAAAGATCAAGCAGGACAAAGTATTCAGCACAACATAGAGTGTGATATGAATTAAATTTGATTATAAGGTTACCATAAATAATTTTGTTTATAACAATGGACATTTATTCCAAATCATATCAGTCTGAAAAACTAAAAAAAGTTGAAAACTGCAGAGATTTGTTAAGCATGTAATCTCCGTGGAATGGTCTATTCTAAACAAACACCAATTTTGAAAATAAATTCTACATCCAACAGATCGATATCGGTGTCAACATTAAATTTTAGTACAACTTCTATCTTCAGATACACATATTATGCTTTATAAATGATGAAATCATCGAAATGTAACCTCCGTGGAATGTAATCTCCGTTGACGTTTTGGTAAAGAGTGCTTTCTATCACGTCCGCATTTTTATCGAGTATGGCATGCCAAATAAACATATTAGATAATTATCACGGATGGCGAATATATAAATTACAGACCAATAACATACATTGTAATTCAGGCGACATAAGAAGACACCATGTAACAATTCTTATTAATCAATTGTTTACGTGTAACAGAGTTGCTTTTATCTCAGATCTAGAAAAAAAAAAACCGAACCGGATTTATATCAATATTAATATATGCAAGTAAATAATTTTAACCCGTTTTCAATATTCAAGATATGAAACTTTTATTATTAATATAAGTTTGATACCGAATTAAATACGATGTAACAATTATGCAAGTAGCCATACAATTTGCTCTGCCTAATGAGTTTTATATCATGTTGCACAGGGAGAGAAGCTTTTAATTACTTTCTTTCATTAAAATGAAATTACGTCGGCTGAGAGGGCGTGGTATATATTGTCCGTTACATTCGTATAAAAACACCATGTACAAATATTCTTTTCGAAAATAAATACAGTTAAATAGATCAAACAAAGCTATCCGTCACAGTGATATATGACGGTCTGGATTAGGGGAGGGGGTCTAAATTTCTGTATTTTGTAATTCTTTTGGCCATTTTTCTCTATTCAGTAAGAAATATGCTTATTCTGTAAAATTCTTGTGTTCAGTTCCTGCATATGAAATTAACTTTCCTGTTGTATCACAATTTTGACACGACAGATCTTCTTGTTCGTATCAACGACATACGTATGACGACATTCTTACCCCGTACACCCCTTTTTTGGAATCTGTCACTGAACTGCACAAATGATACCATAATATCTGATTAAAATCAAAGGGGGAGAAAAAAAAACTATTTTAATTTCTTCGTAATAATTTGGATATCTGGGATAATAAACAGAGGTTAATCACATGAGGTATATTTGATCATAGTATATTTGGTTTGTGATTCTTTATTACCCAAATGTCCAACAAAATATAAAAACATTTCCTATCAATCAATTGTTTTGGAGAATATTCAAATATAATTACATTACATGTATGTATGTTTCATTATAATACGTTATTTTGATTGGCTAACAGCAATCTCGCGTCATTCTGATATTAACCTTCATTTCAAAATGAAATGTAACATTCATGATGACACGAGCTTCCACAATAAAGTGCACAGGTAAATAAAAGAAAAACTTGATAGAAATCGTGTTTTGATGATCCAAGCAAAAAAATGTAATTATAAGTATTGATTGCTTCTTTTAGTAGTTTTTATAGGGGTGTAAAAGTGTTGACCGTACGCACATCTTTAAAACGAAGCGCTTACGCGCTTTATACAAAATGTACTTCGGTCAACGCTTTTACACCCCAATAAATTTAAAAAAAAGAAGCATTCAATTCTTAAATATTTAATATTTATTGGTACTAAAAAAAAATATTATACCCCCAAAAAATCTAAGACAATGTCATCCGTCCTCAAGCATCAATCTTCCAGCCCTAACCAATAAATTGTTGTTTGAATTATAAAGTTATTGAGTTATGGATCTTACAAACATGAAACTGAAGACGTAGGAATTATGACAGCGTTCTGATTCTGCAATTCCTTTCAATTCCCTTCAATTGTCCATTTATAAATTTTGAAATTATAAAGAAACAAAGGTTTCAGCTTTATCGGGCAAAGTTAATCTTCGACTGATTTTTTTTTTTTTTTTTTATGTCCTTTTGGTCAGATAGCTCATCAACTCTTTCTGTTCTTTTACATCATTGG